GGGAGGGGCGTTGCCAGGGCACCCCAAAGTGGGACCCGGTGCCTCCACTCTCTAATGTGTTCCCCCCGGGCGAGTGGCTCCCCGGCTTGGAGCCTCAGATTTATCTGCAGAACTTTCTCTGTAGCTGCGATAGGTTTCTCCCTCCCCCATTTCTCCCTCCCCTTGAGGTCTCCACAAAATGCCTCCAATCTCCCAGAGTATCCCAGACCCAGACAGGGAGCTGGGGGCACTCCAGTGAGTGGGGTGCTGCCTCTGGGTCGCCCATGTATCTCCCTTCATGCTTCTCTGGGCCTCAGTTTCCCCATTCTGTAACATGGGGAGAAAAAAATGCTGCCTCTCTCAGGAGGCTGCTGGGAGGATTTTAAGGGATGATCAGAGCTGGGCATACCAATTCCTACTGATTAGTTTGACTCTGGAAAGTGCAGGGCGGAGGGGCGGAGTCTTGATTTGTGAGCTGTGAAGCCATGGAAGGTGCTGGAAGCCTGGCAGTGTACTGGCTCAGGCTGAGCTTCACGGAGGATGAACGGGGGAGTGAGCTGTAGGTTCGACTGAGGCTCCTCCACTCAGTCCTCCTGTGTCCCTTCTCTCGCCTGAGTTCCTCAAGACCCTGAGAGCCTGGGGGCTGAGGTTCAAGGCCACACAGCCGGACCGACAGCGCCAGGGTTCAAACCCAGGTCCAGATCTTCCAAGCGGGGAGTTCTGCCTCCAGGTGATCAGCCTTGGGGTATAACCCCCATTTCGCAAACCCGAGACTACAAGGGTTTGCTGGCTGTCCAAAGAGTCCAGCCTGTCTTAATGACCCTCCGCCCTGTGTCCCTTCACAACCCCCTCCCCCGCTACTGGCTCCTCCCACCAGGTCTAGGCTGGAACCCGCAGCCCAGCCTGCGCCGGTGCTCACCAGCTGCTGTGGCTTCTTCCCTCCCGGTGTTGTTTGGGTTTTAATTTTTGTGTTGCAGTTAGAAAATTACCCATAATTACAGCTTCTGAAAGGAAACGTCTCACGGCGCAGACCCTGCTCCCAGCTGTGGCCGCCTCCCACGCACGGCTGAGGAGGGGCTGCAGGGGTCTCCAGCCTGGATCCTGGCCCCTCCCCGAATCCCTCCCTTCCCCCGTCCCCCCCCTCCCCATTAACGGGCTGCTTCCACCTCCTATGGAGAGGAAAAACCATCATCGGGAAAACCCAAACTAGCCTTCCCAACGCCTCAAGCAACATATTCATGGACCCCTACCGCTGTGTCTGCAGGGAGAGCAGATCCAGAGGGAGGCGGAGGCTGCCAACAGATGACTTAGGCATTATTTTATCATAACAGTGACAAGTCCAACCAAGGCTAGTGCAGAACCAGTAATCTGGAGGAGATGGCCACGGAAGGCAAGGAGTTGGGCGAGGGAGAGACGGAGGAGGAGGGAGAAGGGCGAGCTGGGGAGAAGGAATAATGCGGCCAAAAGTCGAAGGAGGCCAGAACAGGCCAGGCCAAGAGCCAGAGAAAAGAGCGCTCCAGGAGGCAAGAACGGCCAGTGCAAAGGCCGAGAGGTGGGTCTGAAGAATGGAAGGGTTGGAAGGGAGTGAGGGGAGGGATGGCTCCTCCTGCAGGCAATCCCCCTACCCTACAAGCCAACTTCGGACTCTCCCAGGCACCGACCCAGACGTTAAGGGGCTGGGGTTCGGGGGCGTCGGTGGTCCCAAGAGTCAGAGACCCAGCTCAGGGCTGCAGTCCCCGGCAGCCACACGGGGGCGACCGGGAGCCGGCAAAGGAGCCGCAGGTCTGGGGCCCAGCCTTAACCCTTAGCGCTCCTTGCTTACCGTCCCCCGCCCCCACACCGGCTCCTAAATCAATTCCCGGGTCTGTCAGGTCCTCCTGGGCCTCTTACCGGGTCAACCTCCCTGCTTCCTCCACGCCATCCCGATCTACCTGGCAGCCCCATGGAGCTTCTTAAAATCCTGACGCAGATCCCGCCCCTCGCGGCTACACACCTTCCTGTGGCTCCCTATTCCTTTTAAAACAAAGCCCAACCCGTCCCCGCCAGGAATGGCCCGACTCGTTTCCTCCTTTCCCCCCCTCCCCGCCCTCCTCGCTCTGCCTCCAACACTTTAACCGTGTGCCCACCTCAGGGCCTTTGCACTTGCCGTGACTACAATCTGAACATTCTTCTTCCAGATCTTTCGGATCCACCCCCTCCCCTTATTTAAAAAAAAAATATATATATATATGTATATGTGTATATATATATGTATGTATATATATACATACATATATACATATATATATATATATATATATATATATATATATATATATATATATATATATTTTTGCAAGGCGTGCGTTCTGGTTGGTCGTGCACGCGGCTCAGCTCCCCGGACGCCGCATGGGGCCTAGAGCTTGCTCTTCTCCGACTTTTCCGCCGGCGCCGAGGCAGTGTTTTGGAGATCCGTCCCTGTTGCCATGAGAACCGCGCTAGTCTCTCCCGCCGGCCGCGCTTCCCCCCTCCGCAGCTAGCCCCGCCACGGGCGCCTCCGCCTCCCAGCCTCCCTCCCTCCGCCTTCCGCCGCTGCGGTCGCCCCGTCCTCTTCACCGGGGTCCCCTCCCTCTGCCCACCACGTGGGACTCCCTGAAATTATCCTACTGTTCGCCAGCTTTTGACTGTCCGCCTTTCCCATCAGACCCTCTGCTCCACAAGCAGTAGCAACGTGTCCCGACTGGGTCCACAGAGCCCGGCACACAGGAGGCACTCAATAAATATTTGTGGAGAGGATGAAGACTCCCATCGACTCAAGGAACCGGAGCTCAGAGAGGGCCGTGGACCCGCCCAGGGCACACAGAATTCTGGGGAGCAACAGAGCATTAGGAGATAAATGGGGGTGCCTGGGGTGGTGGTGGGAGCGTCCGTGGGAATCACAGCTGTCACCAATGCACTGTGTGGCTTGGGTGAGTCACACCCTCTCTGTGCCTGGCCGGGAGTAGTTGTTGGAGAGCGGTGATGGGAACGGGTATTACGATGAGGGTGTCCTTGACGCCCACGTTCACCGGTGGCCCCCGGGGCATTGGGCAGTCCCCATCTCGACGTCCTACTGAAGCTGGCCTGCCGCGCCCCCATTAGTGCGCAGCGCGGGCCCCTCCTCCGCGCCGGCCCGGGCCCGGGAGGTCCAAGGGAGAGGAAGTTGGGGGAGGGGACGACCTGCTGGACAGGAAGTGGGAAGGGTTGGCGTGTCCCCCCCTCCCCCCCCCGGCCGAGGAAGTTGGGGGAGGGGACGACCTGCTGGACAGGAAGTGGGAAGGGTTGGCGTGCCCCCCCCTCCCCCCCCCGGCCGTGGCCCCTCGGGATGGAGGCGGGGCTGGGGCCGGCCTGGCCCTTCCCGTCCTCTTCGCCTGTCTGGAACCGCAGCGGTTCAAGACTTCCCGCCCGGCAGAAGACCTGGGTGGGGGGGAGGCCGTTGGAGGCATAATGGGGGGTCTGCCGGCAGCGGGAGGGGCGCTCCGATCAACACACAACACACGACACAGGAAATGTGAGCGCACAGCCACACCACACACGTCCCAGGGGGCCAGCAATCCACCCACTCGGGGAGGCACACACACTAGTGCACAAAACCTGACGCGGCGCCACTCGGCCCCGTACGGCCGCCGCGGACACATAACCACTGTCGCAGAGCCAGGGACAGTTGCCCAGACAGTGACTGGGTGCCTGCCAACCCCCCACGCACAACGATGCACACGTGCACTCACACAGGAACGGCGTGTTTACACACACACTTGTGGTCGTAAAAAGAAAGAAAAAATAACCTATGGCAAACGTTCACAGAAGCATCTAGACATAGAGTCACAACTGGACGGCCTCCCGCCACCTAGCCCACGCACGTCCGGCGCACACTGCCCACAGGTACCTTGGCACACTGGCCTCCGCCCCTACCCCAGACACCCCTGCCCTGCGGGTGTCCTTGCCTCGGTGTCGGCCTCCACCTCTGCATACCTCCTGGGGGGAGAAGAAGGGCCCTAGGAGGGAGAATGGGGTGCCCACTGCCAGCACCCCTGACTCCTGCAAAGGTGCTATTAAAGTTGGAATATTTACAGCTGGCAGCACAGGCTGGGAGGCGGAGCCAGTGGGAATGACCCAGTCAGTCAAGTCACCCAGCACCTACAATTGACACGGAAGTGTGACTGTGGGGCAGTGCAGGGTAGCTCCCAGAGTGTGGCCTGGGTACCCCAGGAGCTTCTTGTCTGTGTGGTGTCTTTGTGCTGCATGTATCTGTGTTGTGTGACTGTGTGTTGCGTGTGACTGAGCCATCTGTGGTTCGGTGAGACCCCAGGTCCCTGTGTGGAGCCCTCAGGAGGCTGCGACGGTGTGCCCCAGGGTGACAGCAAGTAGCTGCGTGGGCTCTTTCCACAGCTGTTGGAAGCTGTGGCATAGCGGTGCCGATGCGTGTCTCTGTGCGGCTGTGTGCGTATGTGAGCGTCGAGTGTGTTTCAATGTTCTGTAACAGCCACTATTTGAGCTATGTATACCTAAGTGTATGACAGTGTATCCCTGGGCAGACTGTGTGTGTGGCGGTTCCCACCCGTGCTGGGCGTGGGTAGCTCTGCGGGGCGATACACCCAGTATAACTGCCTGTAGCTTTACAGGGCTATCAGTAGTTGTTCCAGTAGCTATAGAGACTTATGTGTGCAGAGTCCTGTGTCGGAGAATGTAGCCGCAACTAAGTGTGTGGCTGTGTTCTTGGGTGTACAATTTGGGTGTATCTGGAAAGTGTGTGTGTAGCCGTGATCAGCTGTGTCCCGCTGTGTGCCCCCGGGTGGCTGTCCCCAGTCGCACCGAGTATGTGTATCCCCGCGCCCCCTCCCCCCGCGGCGGGCACTGCGCGTGCGCGCCCGGCCCACGGTCCCGGCGGCGGGACCCACCCGCGCTCACGCCATCGCCCCTTTAAGAGCGGCGCCCGCGGGCGACGGGGAGGCGGCGGGCGGGGGCGCGCGCGGCGGGAGGAGGGGGCGCGCGCTTCCCGGAACAGCCCGCGCTGAGGGAAGAGAGGAAGAAAATAAAACCCGCGGCCGGAGCCAAAGCTGGAGCTGCTGCCGCCGCCGTCTCAGCCGTCTGGAGCTCCCCCGCGCGGACGATGCCCGCGATGCCCGCGCGGGGCTCGGGGCGGTGAGGCCCGGGGCGCGGGGTAGCTATGGCGACCGGGAGCGCGGCCCGCGGCGCCGCCTGACAGGTGTGGGGCCCCGGCGGCGGCGGCGGCGGCGGCGGCACGGAGCAGCATGTACGCCAAGGGGGGCAAGGGCTCGGCCGTGCCCTCCGACAGCCAAGCACGAGAGAAGTGAGTCGGTGGTCCGGGACCGTGGGAGACGGGGGTGGGGCTCGGTGGCCGCGCCGCTTCCGTGGCCCTAACGCCGGCGGGCACCGCGTGGGGCACGTGGGTGCGGGGCATAAGCGAGATTTAAGGGGCGCGCGAGACTGGAGGGGCTGGAGGGTCGCGAGCTACGGGGGAGCTCGCTAGACCCAAGGGGCGTGAGGGGCTTAAGGGGTCGCGAGATTTGAGGGGACGCGCGAGATTCGAGAGGTCGTGAGAGTAGAAGGGACCCCGGAGACCCGAGGGGGGCGAGATTGCGGGGGCGCGCGAGATTCGAGCGGGACTAGAGGGTCGCGAGACCTTCCCGACGGTTAAGCCTTGGGTGTGGGAGGTTGCGAACGCGTGTGCGCGCGGAGTCGCCATTCGTGCCGCTTCCCCCATCCTCTGGGGAAGTTTCCCGGACAGGCGAGACTGGCCGCTCTGGGCGCCTCCCCCCTCCCCCGCTCCTTACCGAAAGCTTGAGAGACGCGAGAAGGGCTTGAGGGGCACCGGCCCCACCCCTGAAAGGCAACCTGTCCAGCCGGGCCTGGGGCAGCTGGGTGGGGCCCTTGGGGAAGCCGCAGGATCACAGTCCTGGGGCCCCCACTTGTTTTGGGCATGGCGCTGGGCCGTGGGTAGCAGATGGTCTCAGGCTGGTAGAGGGGCAGGTTCCTAACTCCCAGACTCTGCAGTGAGGGGCGGAAGGCGCTCAGAGCTTCTTGGGGTGGGGAGGCAGCTGAGCTGTTGTGCTTGCCTCCTGGCCCTGCCACTTACCTGACCTGTGGCTTTGGGTGAGGGAGCACTCCCTCTTAGGCTTATTTTCCTATCCTGAGAAATGCAGACATAATAACAGTGCTGTCTCTTAGGTTTGGGGAGTGTTTGAAAGGTTCTAGGACGTGTGACTGCCTCACAGCAAGGGCACCCAGCAGTTTGCGATATTGTTAAAGTGCCAGGGAAAAGAGAAGGCTTCTGATGTCTGATGGCCAATGGCTGATTTGCAGGATCCTAGAAGTCAAGCCACCTAGGGCGGGAAACCAGCTGCTGGAGCAGTTAGTTAGGAGGCTGAGTTATTGTGGAGAGGTCCCATGATGACTCTCTTTGAGGGCCAGAGCAGGAGTGAGGACTTGAACGTCTGGGCAGTGAAAAGGAGCCCTGAATATGGGCTGTCTCCTGTCTTCTCTTCCTGGACTCACATTGGGACACCACCTCTCCCTACAACCCAAGGATGAGTGTCCATTCTCTACCCAGCCTCGGGGTCATTTTGGAGAAGAGATTCTTCTGGCCAGAAGATGCTAGACAGATGATTGTCCTTCCAGACCTCTCTTGTCTGCACAGTTATGAGGTTGGGGTCCATTTCCAAGCACCATTAAGCAGGAAGACTTTTTTTTTTTTTTTTTTGAAACTGACATCTGGCTCCTGCCCTGGTTGGAAGCAGGGGGTGTGTAGCCACCCCACTCCTGGGGATCTTGGCACATCTCCAGCCATCCTTGTATCCTGGCTTCTGGGCTCTGGGGGCTACCACTCCCCCAGTGGGAATCGTTCACTTGTTCAGACATGTGCTGGGCTGGGTCTTGGGGTGTAGTGGTTGGGAAGCCAGGCCCTAGCCCTGAAGAAGCCCACATCCTAGCTAGGAGGCAAGTGAGTTACTCAGCAAGCTGATGGAAGGATCTGGAGCTATGCTCTGAAAAAAGCAAAATGGGAAAGTGGGCGGTAGTGAACTGTGAGGAGGTGTGTCAGGTGTGCAGAGACCTGGAGGAAGAGCCGATGGCTGAGGGCACAGCAAGTGCAAAGGCCCTAGGGTGAGGCCAGGCCAAAGAGCTGGGGCTGGTGCCCAGGGTGGGGATGTGCTGTGTGGGCCAGAGAGGCTTGTGTTCCAAAGTACACTCCAGCTTCTTTTTGGAGTGGGGCTTACTGTGGGTCGCGTGAGGGTAGAGGGCCAGGAGACCTGGGGGAGGCAGGCATAGTTATGTGGGAGAGAGCTAATGGTGGCAGCTTAGGGGGTGGCCGTGGAGATAAGAGAAGGGAAGAAATAGGTTTGAGCTGGGGTCATGGTGTTTGGAGTGCGTTTCAATCCCACTAGACAGTCCAGGAGAGATTTTGAGTCTTTGAACCGGGCCTCGGCTCTTGGCTAAGAAGAGAGGGTTATCTGACTTCTTGGCCAGAGCCATCCTGCGCTCATCCATTTCTTGTCGAGAGGGTCCTGTAGCAGCGTTGGCTTGGAGACGAGGTTCTGCCGCTAAAGAAAGTTTGGAAAACACCAGATGGTGGCATCCACTTCACTGACGGGGATGCCAGGCCCTGGAGAGGAAGGACCCTGCTGAAGCCTCAGGTTCTGGGGCACAGGAGAGCCCCAGATGCTTGGGGCTGATACACTAGAGACGCAGGCTGGTTGCTCTGAGCCTGTTTCCCCTCTGAAACGCGGACAGCCGGCCTCGCAGGATTCTCACGAGGACTGGGGGAGAGGCTGCAGATAGAGCACCCCTCACAGGCATTCCCCAATCACGCCACTTCCTGTCTCTGGGCCTTGGTTTCCTCCTCCGTGAAATGGGGTGAAGGGGGTTCCACTGCTCGACTCTCCAGGACTGTTTTTTCCTCCCTGATCTTACCCTCCTGACTCCTCCTGCCCTTCCTCTTTTTCCTTCTTGGGCCCCTGTCCTGAGCCCCCTCTGGCTCCCCATCTCAGCACTAGGTCTGGGCTAGCCTGTCCCAGAAATGGACTTAGCGCCTGCTTGGTGCACAGATGGTGGGTCCCTGCTCTTGGGGGCTCACAGCAAACCATGGTGACTGCTGGGTCCAGGGAATACAAGGAAGGGATGGCAGGGTGGGCGAGAGGGAGGCTGGGGTCTGAGTGGGCTGCTTGCAGGAAGACACAGCCTCTCCTTGTATAAATGATGGACACTCCAACCTACAGGGAAACCCCGAGATCACTTCCCACCCAGAACTAACTAGCGCTTGCATTCGGTCACTAAGGTCTCTTTAAATAAGATGAAGGTGATAGGGACAGTTGAAGGCCCCTGTGTCCCCTTTGCATCCCTTCCCCCCTCTAGCCCCAGAGGCTGTACTGTCCTAAGTTGAGGGGAGAGATCTAAATGTTTGCATCGTGTGTGTACATCCTTGAACACTTTAAGTGCTGCCACGTGGGTTTAGAATAGTTCCGTAAGTGATGGTCACTGTCAGTGTCACCGGGAGTCTTGTGTTTTTCTCCCAGAATTAGTTTTGTTTTTGTTTTTTTTTAAGATTTATTTAGTACTTATTTATTTTATTTATTTTTGACTGCGTCGGGTCTTAGTTGTGGCACACGGGATCTTCGTTGAGGCATGCAGATTATTTTGTGCGGCACACGGGCTTCTCCTTAGTTGTGGCAGCGGGTTTTCTCTCTGTAATTGTGGCGTGTGGGCTCCAGGGCGCGTGGGCTCTGTAGGTTGCAGCACGCGGGCTCTCGTTGAGGCGTGTGAGCTCAGTAGTTGTGGCACACGTGCCTAGTTGCCCAGCAGCATGTGGGATCTTAGTTCCCTGACCAAGGACAGAACCCGCGTCCCCTGCATTGGAAGGCGTATTCTGTATCACTGGACCACCAGTAAAGTCCCCAGGGTTAGTTCTGATATGGGCACATCGCCTCAGGTAGTTTGTTCATTATCCCAGCAGGCAAGGGACTCACCATGTGTCTGTCCCATCCCTAGCTGGGCTTCCAGGTGCCCATGCCTGTGGGCATCCTTGTTGGAGGGGTGTGCATGGGTAAGAGGTTCTTGAGAAGGGAGCCCCTGAACTGAGTCCTGGAGGCTGAGCAGAGCCCGTGGACACAGGGGAGCTTTCTGGGAAGGTCTTGAGTCAGTATCTGGGGGACAAATGCTGGGATGGAATTTGTTAGTGGGGACAGTTACTTTGGCTGCTGAGTAGGAGAAAGGCTGTAAGGGGCAAATGTGGAGGCTGCCAGGAGGCCGGTGAGGAGGGTGGCCACCACCCTGGCTCTTAAGAGCTGAAGGCCTGGCCATGAGGGTGGCAGAGGGGAGGGAGGAAATGTGTAGGCTGGAGAGTCCCTTAGGGGCATCGGTGGGACCTGGTGATGGATTAGATGGGGGTGAGGGGGTGACACAAGGCCTTGAGTAGAGAGGGCTTCTCCCAGCCCCCAGCAGTATGTGCCTCCAGGGGCTTTAAAGGGGAGGGAGAGCCTGGCAGGGAACACCTCTTCTTACCTTAATTCTTGGTTATTATGGTAATTCTTGATGATGAAGGTAGTACTGCTGTAGTACCCCATTCTGTCACCACTTCCCTGTGCAGCTGCAGCTTCTCCCCATGAGCACTCCAGGTCCGGGCACCCTGTATCCTCCAGGTCACCATTCCTTCTGGAGGGAGGGCCCCCGGTGCACCCCACGCTCCCTCCCATCTCCCGCCCTCTTGCATCGGGAGTGCCTCTGGTGGGTGGGCTCTTCATTCTGCAGGTCATTTGCTGACCAGGGCTGGGGTGGGGCCAGGATTTGGATCCAGAGCCCAGGCCCTTTCCCACAACCCATCTCAGGGCCTAGACAGTGACCTGCAAGCCAGAAGCCCTCCCTGAGTGGCGGGCCCTGGAGGTCCCAAAACAACCTGACCAGATGTCCAGGCTTCAAAAGTTTTCACTGAAAACAAACAAACAAAGCTGCTCACAGTTCTCTGAGACTTGATCTTGATAAAAATTAAAGTACCAGCATATAAGAGAAATCAAGCAAAACTGAAAACCTTCTCTGGCTTCTCTTTGCTCTTGGGATAAAACCCCAAATTCTTAACATCAGAATAGTAAGTAAGTGCTGACCTTCATAAGTGCCTACTGGGCATCCCGGGAGCGAGGGGGTTCAGGGTTGGTTGGTTCATTCATTGGGGTGGCTGGGGGCCCAGGATGCCCAGCTCTGTGTAAGCTCAGGAGTGAGATGAAGTCCCCGCCCTCCCAAAGCTACATCCAGTGGGGGCTGCAGGCAGTAAGCAGAGGGCCTTGTGTCAAATGGAGATAAATATGATGGAGGCAAGTGGAGAATGGAGCAGAGCTGCCGTTAGAAGTGATAGGGAAGCCTCTGCCCCGTGACTTTGGAGCCGTGAGGGTCTCTAGCAGAAGTGTCTCAGGCAGGGAAATGGCCTGTGCAAAGGCCCTGGGGTGGAGAGGTAGAGAGTGGCCAACGTGTGTGGGAGGCACTGAAGGATCTGAGTGAGGAGTGCTGGTGGGGAGGGGAGGAAGCAGCCCCTAGAGGGGCCCTGTTGAAATCCAGGTAAGTGATAGTGGTGGCCTGGACCACGTGTGTGCTGAGGAAGGCAGGGAGAAGGCTCAGAATCAGGAGAGAGAGTGCTTTTTCCTCAAGTTTTTCCCCTAAATTCAATAAATGTAGTGATCTCTGGGGGACAGCTAGGTGGATCTTCACACTTGCGCCACACCTATGTGAGTCAAGACCACCCAGGTCAGGGAACAGGAGGCGAAGGAGAGGAAGAAGCTGGGGTGGGGCTGGGCCTTTAAGATGTCAGGTGGACAGCAGACCCTGAGTTCCGGGGGAGGCCAGGCTGGAGGAACCCTGTGGGCAGCTGCACCACGTCAGTCATCAACATCAGAGCAGGAGGGGAGGCCACCCAGGGAGAAGAGAGGAGAGCCGGGGCAGGGCCGGAGGAGGGAGGACAGCGGGCGGTGGTGGGCCCCGGGGCCTGCATCCTGGGTCCGGTGCCACCCCTGGCCAGTGGAGGGTGAGAGGTGATGGAGAGAGACCCGATGGGCTGGCAGCATAGAGCCCTTGGTGGCCTTAGTGTGAGCCAGCATGTTCTTCAGGAGGCTCCCTGAACCCTGAGGAGAGGCTTCTGCTCTTGGTGGGGGTGGGGCCAGACTGCAGCCCCCCATGTGCTCCCCCTGCCCTGCTGCGCTTCCCTTCTGAGCAGCCTACCTGGATCCCCCCACTCTGTCTTGCTTCCTGTCTCTGGGTACCTCATTCCCTGCACCGTTCCCCAAGGTGGCAGGGGGCCAGCGGGATCTCTTCAAACCTCTCTATTTGCCTGGAGGGTCGGTTGGTGAGCAGGCCGGGGCTGCTCACGTCTCCTCCAGCCCCATTGACTTTTCATGTTCGTTTCTTCACTGATGGACTCAGGCCTGGTAGATGCAGTCCACTCGTGAAGGCTCAGGAAACCTCTAGAAAGGGAGGGGGGGTCCCAGGAGTGAGTCGGACAGGTGAGCCTGCAGGCTGGGGGGTGAGGAAGACCACTGGGCTGGAGAAGGGTGGATGCTGCCGGGGTGCGATGTTGGAACCTGGGGGCGCCCGGGCTGGAGGCGCTGAGAGGGGTGTGATGATGAGGCAGGAACCTTGGCCAGTCTTGGGGGAGACCCATGCTCAGAACTATGTGAGCCCCACAAATCCTACCCCTCTGTGACCTGTTTCTGTCCCTCCGGCGGCTGCCACAGCCCGCGTGGTGTAATGCGAGCTGTGGACATACCTTGTCCAGGTTCAGCTGCCCACCCGGACTCCCTAATGTCCCCCCTTGTAGTTCTGTAGCACGCACTACCTTCCACCCCACCAGATGACTTACCTCCTCCTTTGTATTTTTGCTCCTCCGTCTCTCCCCGTGAGCAGGTAGCCTCCAGGGAGACAGGGGTCTGTTGTGTTCACTGCTCAAGGAGGTGAATGTTTGTTGAATGAATGACTGAAAGGACGGATGGATGGATGAAGGAAGGAAAAGAGGGTCCAGGGCAAGGGCAGAAGTCGTGGGGTGGGGCCTGGGACAGAAGGGCTAGAACTGCCTTTGTGAGGTCTGAGCTGGAACTGGGGGCGGGGGTGCTCTGCAGAGGGGGCTGGGATGTGAGGATGGAGCAGCCGGGCTGGGAAGGGTGAGAGAAAGCAGGAGCATGAGTCAAAGCAAGGTTATTTCAGGATGGGGCCATCAGCCAGGGGAGGGAGGCCAGCTGAGCGGGGAGGCATCTGGAAGGGCCTACAGCTTTCACCGGAGCAGCCTCAGGCTGGCCCTTGGGGAGCCCCCGGTCTTAGATCCAGACTCCCCTCGGTCCACCTGGGTCCTGGCTGGGTAGTAGGAAGACCCTGGAGGTGCCCGGAGGGGCCGGTACTGGTAGAGTGGGGGCTGGGGAATGGGTGACCCTAGCGGGTGGGGAATTGTCCCTCTGCTGGCGGGTGTGGAAGACAGATTGGGGTGTGGTGGAGGCCAAGGATGGAAAGGCCTGGAAGGCAATGTGGATGGTCCGGCCTCCCTGTGTGGGCCAATGGATGGTGTTGCTGGTTGGAGCGTGGCCTGTGCTCTTGGGGTGGGCAGTGGCCGAGTTGGTGTGTCCAGGGGTACTGGGCACTGTGGGCATTTGGACAGGGCGGTGCCGTGGCAGCTGAGTGGCACTGCTGGCCCTACCTCCCATTTCCCCGGACTCCCCCTTGGGGGGCTGGTATGGATATGTCATAGCCACCACTGGAGGATGGGAACTGATCCTGAGGAAAAGGATGGGGTCTAGGGAAACCTGGAGGAGGAAGACCTCGGGTCAGAGAGCCCCTTTTCTTCCTTGGCAGGTGAGGCTGGGAGTGAATTAGGCACTGGGCCCTGGCCACATGGCCCAGGGTGCCTGCTGGGAGACCCCACCCAGAGCACAATCCAGAGTGAAGCCCAGGAGCCATTTCTCCAAGGAGAGGAACTCCCTGGGGCCAAGGCTGCTCTAAGGTCTCAGCATTGGCAGGATGGGGCCAGGACTTGGTTCATCAGGAGGTGTTGAACTGAGCAGAATTTGGCTGGAGGTGGGGGGCTGGGGACTGCTAGGAGTGCTGCCTAGAGGAGGGGCCTGCAGGCTGTGTGTTAATGGATGTGTAGGAGTTGGCCAGGCTGAGCAACTGGTGAGGAGGCCATCTCTTCCGAGGGATGAGGGATGGGGGAGGTGGGGCGAGGGGGGGATCGGCAGAGGGAAGTGAGTGAGGCTGGCAGTAGGTGGTAGGTACAGTGAGGGCCTCACTGTGGGCCCCTGCCCTTCTCCACCTTCCCACCAGAGGGCAGGTGCCGCACCTTAAAGCCCCTCCCAGGGGCCCTGGGGCAGAGCTTTGGGTCTGCCTGGACCTCCTGAGAGCCTGAGCCGGCCCCCACCCCTCCCACCTGCAGGTTGGCGCTGTACGTGTATGAGTACCTGCTGCACGTTGGTGCCCAGAAGTCAGCCCAGACCTTTCTGTCCGAGGTAAGCTGGCCTGGCCAGGCAGGGCCCCCACAGCCAGCCCCTTCCTTGGCACCCACATCCTGGGGTCCTCCCTACCCCATTTTTATCAAGTCTCCGTGGTGGGGTTGGGTTGTGCCCTGGGAACTGAGGGCTGTGGAGCGGCGGGGCTGGCATCCTGGTATCTGTCCATCCATCTGAGGATCTGCCTCCCGCTCCTCTGTCCGTCTCCTCACCAAGCTGTCCCCCTCCTGGCTCCCTTGCTCTGATCTGCTGGTTTCCTGCCCGTGTTTCCTGGGCCCCGGGGTTGGGTTGGGGCTGCCTCTTGGGAGGGGAAGGGGTCAGACAGGGCCAGGCCATTAGCCCTCACCTTCCTTCCCTCTCCCCTGCAGATCCGATGGGAGAAGAACATTACGCTGGGGGAGCCCCCGGGCTTCCTGCATTCCTGGTGGTGGTGCGCGCAAGGCTGGTGTGGGTGGGACATGGGTGGGGCTGGGGGGGGCGCGTGGGGAAACCATCGTCCCCCCCTGCCGCCCACAGCGTGTTCTGGGACTTGTACTGTGCAGCGCCCGACCGCAGAGAGGCGTGCGAGCACTCGAGTGAAGCCAAGGCCTTCCAGGACTACGTGAGTCCCCGCCCCAGGGCCTGGGACCAGGGCTCACGGGTGTGGGCAGGGTCCTGTGGCCTTGGGGGGGCTGCATGGCCGGAAACTGGCTCAGGTGGGCTAGTGCGCCAGGCTGTGGGGTTTGACCTGAGATCATGGCTTCTGTGGGGTCCCTCTGCCCCCCACTGCACCCAACTCCTGACGGTCCCCATGAGCCCCACACCCTCCCGAGGCCAGCCCCTCCTTTGCTCCCCCTCACGTGAACCCCATGTGGAACCAGGTAGACAGAACACAGCTCCTGCCTCCCTAGCTCCGTGTATGCGGGGCCGGACGGGTGGCCACCACTGCTTGTCCCCTCCCACCCCAGCCTTTCCAAGCCTTCTGGGGTGGGGGCCCAGGCAGAGGTGCTGGGGGACGGCTAACTGCCTGTGCCCCTGGAGCAGGAGAGGCCGAGCACTTGGCAGATCTCCCAACCTTGCTCTGCGACTGGGGCTGCTGACTTCACGTCTTTGGCCTCAGTTTCATACAAGTTGAGTGGCAGTCAGAGGCCTGTGCCGAGGGGTGGGTGGGCACCGTGAGGGGGCTGGCGGCACCTTGTTGTCAGGGGAGATGGCAGCCCTGCCTTTAACTTCTTCACCCTGGCCCGTGGGGATTGGCCACCTGGCCCGAGAGAGGTTCCCCCGCCCTCCCCCCTCCCTTGCAACCACTCTTCCTGCAGTGGGCGCCTTCACATCCTGAGCCCTCTGCTCTGCCGTGCCCCGCAGGGCCTGGCTGTTCCCCGCCCTCTGCGGTTAGTCTGGGTCCCACACCACGCACGGCCTCGCCAACAGAGAGGCCCCCCTGTGGTGGCGTGCAGGCCTCTGCAGGGCCAGGGTGCAGCCCGAGAAGGCTCGGGTTCACCATGTCCCTGAACACGCCCCATGCCCGCTGTATGCGCATTTATGGGAGCCGAGGTCGCTGCTGTTCACCCCCATCAGGTCCCACTATTCATGTTGTGGTCCCGCCAGAACTGGGGTAACAGAAGTGTGTGGAGCTGTGTGCGTGCGTGACTCCGCGTGGGCCCAGCTCTCTCTCCCCAATGTAGCCCCCAGCTCCTCCCTTTGCCTCTCCTGGGCCCCTTGAGCTCTGTTTCCCCTCCCGGGGCTGCGCAGCCCTCCCCTCTCTCCGCGCCTGCCTTCGTCCCCGCCCCGAGCCTGGCGCCTCCGGGGAGGGGAGAGCGCGGTCTCCCAGCGGAATGAGCGCGCTTCCTGGGGCGCACTGCTGGTTACCATGGCAGCGGGGCGCGTCAGGGGAGGGGGGTGGCGCCCCGTCCCTGGGGTGACAGGGTCCCTGTGTCAGCAGACTGAAGCCAGCTACACGTTCTGCCCCACCTCCGCACTTACTGGGGGTGGGGTGAAGGGGCGTCCTGCCGCCTCTCCCTCGCAGTCGGGGCTCGCTCCTCCCGCCCTCCGCCCCCTGAGGGGGCTCAGTCAGAGCCTCCCGGCTGGGGGCCAACCTCGGCGTCTCCAGGAAACGCGAGCGCGCCCAGCCTGTTGTTATGGCAACGCAGGCCAGGCTGGCGCCTCTGGGGGTGGTTGATTGACTTGGGGGGTCCAGTTCAGGTCACCCGACCGGGAGGGTGGGCCCTCCCCCTCCCCCCACCCCCCCAACCCTGGATTAACCCTTCAAGGCCTAGAGTTGGGGAGCCCCATCTTCTCCCCGCCCCCACACCTCACGGTCTGGAGCGGCAGCCACCCGCACCACTACCCTCCCCAACCAGGAAATGCTCTGGCGCCTGCTGCGGCTCAAAAGGGGGGCTGCGCTCCTGCCCTCCGTAAGGGTTGGGGAGGGGTGGACAGACCCAGGGCTCAGAGCTGTTTCCCTCCAGCCACTGAGGCCGGCGCCAGCGAGAGTAGCTGCTCTAAGCCATCGTGTTGTGTTTGTGAGAGAGGGTGAGGTGGAGGGCAGGGGTGACCCAGCATTTTGGAGAGGGGCTGAGAGCTTCGTCCCCCTCCACCCCCGGGGTCACTTGGGTTTTCAAAGATTTGTGCTGGGTCCTGGGAGTGCTCGCACTGGTACCCTCCCAGCTTGGGCCTGGGTGGAAATCCATTAGAGGCTGACCTTTGAGAAGGAGCAAGAAGGGGGCAGGTGTCAGTCCACAAAGGGAAGGGTGTGACGCCAGGGGCCCTGCTCCGACCCAGACGAGGCGCCCCTTTCCCCACTCCTGTAGGGCAGGATGCACTGTGTGACCATGGGCTAAGTAAGTGCTTAACTCTTCAGAACCCAAGTGGCTGCAGTTCCACAAATTCCTGAGTGCCCCTGTGTGCTGGCTTGTGCCAGCTGCAGGGACAGCAGTGACCCAGACAGATCAGCCTCTTCCTTTTGGGGCCTGGAGGCGGAGGGGGGAAGGCAGATGATGCAGAGGCGAGAGTCAAGGGGCCTTAAGAGAAGTGCTCTACTCAATGCTGCGGTGTCTTCCCCCTTCCCTATCCTTTTGATGTGTCTCCTCTGCCCTAAAGACTAGGCCTCTATCTCCCCCTTTCCCCCTGCTCTGTGGGCCCCAAAGGCAGACAAGCCTGGGACTTGGAACCGACCAGAGGAAGTGGCCTGTCAGCCTGTCCCCCTGCCAACTCTGGGCCTGCCACCAGCATCTCCACCCTTGGCAGACATGGGAACTCCCCTCTCAGGCACCCGGTCTCCCTTCCTCCATCTGAAGAGAGGTTGGGGGCCTGGAGATCCCACTGCAGGGTTCTGCTCTTCCTTCCCCTCCTTCCTTCTGTACAGTAGCTCCAAGGAGGAGCCCTCTGGGAGGGAGGTTCATCTTGAAGCCGTCTAGTGATTTTTTTGTCTGTTGATTTGAGGTGTCTTGGGGGCCCAGCTAAGCTGCATTGCCAGGCAGGAGGAATCAGGGCTGGTAGGCTTGGGCTGGGAGTGGGGGACTGTGCCCCCACCCATCTGAAGTTAGATTCAGACCAAAAGAACAAGCCTGTGCTAGAAGGATGCGGCACGCACTGGAGTCCTGGGTGGATGGCATTTTCAGACCCCCGGAATCCTCAGGGTGGGGACACAGGGGGCTGAGGTCCCTGATCACCTGGGCTGTGGGCTCAGCCAGGCTGGGCCCTGATCACCTCCAGGGTCACGGGTTCAGCAAGGAGGCAGAGCCCTTGCCGAGGGCCACCCAGCACATCTGGTTGCTAAGCCGGCGTGGGGACAGGGGCCTCAGCTCTTCCCTCACCTAGAGCCGCCTCCTCCCCCTCCCCCTCCCCCTGCCCCGGCCCCCGCCCCGCAAATCCTCCCGTGCCTGAGTAGTTGGATGGCTTGGGTTCCTTGTTCCGTGGGGCCAGCTGCTTGAGGAGAGAAGGAAACACTTGGACAGGAAGTGACCTGACTTGGCTCTTGCCATCTCCCCCAACCCTGCAGAGCGCTGCAGCGGCCCCCAGCCCGGTGATGGGGAGCATGGCTCCCAATGATGCAATGGCATCAGGCCCCATGGCACCCGGCTTCTTCCAGGTATAGCCGGGGCTGGGGCTCCCTGTCTCCTGACCCTGGATGGGCTTGTGTGGGAGGGTGACAGGCAGGGGCAATGACGGGGTGGGTATGCCCCTGCGGGCCTCGACAGTGCCGGTGAGGGAGGGGCCATCTGGCCTGGGCCCCCGCTGCGGGAGGGGGCGGGGTCTCTGCACTAGGCCTGCGCCTGTGTGTGTCGGGGCGCCTGGGGCCGCACAGCTTGGCTCGCTGAACCACGGGTCCTGCCCATGACCTCCGCCTTTGGGTCCACCCCACCCCCGCCACGTCCCGCAGATGGGGCTAGTTGGCCCACTCTCCTGCCTCCACGGTGTCCCCTCCCCTCCCTGGCCAGGCTCAGCAGAGCCACAAGAAACCGTGGAACTTCGGGTGACCTCGCGCCTCCCAACCCACCTGGTTCTGTCCTCCTAGGGCCCCCCCGGCTCCCAGCCTCCCCCCACCACCCCAACGCCCCCATGATGGGGCCTCAGGTTCCGGTAAGGACCTGTGGTGCCCCGCCCCCTCGAGCACGCACACCCCTCCCCCTGGCTCTTGGGCCCGTCCCGCTGCGCTCCCACGCCCCCGACGCGGCTGGCTGAGGTCTGCCGGCTGGTCTTGGAGGAGGGGGAGTATCCAGGCTGGGGGCCCGGGTGCGGCAGGAAGCGGGTAGCTTTGGGGGCTGAGTAGGTGGGGGGAGGTGCTGATCCCCGGCCCACCTCTTCCAGCCCTTCATGTCACCGCGGTTCCCAGGGGGCCCTCGGCCCACCCTGCGGATGCCGAGTCAGGTGAGAGAGGGATGAGGGGAGGGGGGGTCAGGAATTGGGACGGGGTGGGGGCACCCACACTCAGTGCTGCCACTCCCCCTCCGCAGCCTCCCGTGGGCCTACCCGGTTCCCAGCCCCTCCTCCCTGGCGCCATGGACCCCTCCCCACGTGCTCAGGGTGAGTAGGGAAGCTCTCGCTGCTGTCCCCCCGCCTCCCGTCAGGATCCCAGAGCCAGTTCCCCGCCGCCCACTGTGCAGGAACACCCCCAACCCCCAGCACAGCGCCTGTCCACACCGGGGAACGGCCGCGGCCTGAGCCCTCTTCCTTCTGCCGCCAGGTCATTCGAGCATGGGCCCGATGCAGAGGGTGACGCCTCCAAGGGGCATGACCAGCGTTGGGCCCCAGGTAAGGGCTGGCCCCAGGCGACAGGGGAGCTTCAGGGGCTGCCCTTTCTCGGCTTCCCCTCTCACGGCCCCTTTACCTTCACAGAGCTACGGAAGTGGCATGCGGCCCCCACCCAACTCTCTTGCTGGCCCGGGTTTGCCCACCATGAACATGTAAGGCCCTCAGGAACCCCCGGGAGTGTGCCCATGCGGGTCACCACCCAGCTTCATGGGCTGGGTATGCTGGGGCAGACCCCGAAGCCGCACAACAGCCCCGATACTGTTTACGCCACTGCTGGGTGGGGAAACTCAGGCTCAAAGACCAGTGAGTGATGGATGGGGCTGGGATTTGAAGGCTGGCCTGGCATCTGTGCTTGGTTACTTCTCGGCCAACATCTGCTGCTCTGAGGGCACGTGGGGCAGGCTGGGGGTGTCAGGGAGTGTGTGCTGGGGGGCTGTGTACTGCCTGGCTTAGACCCAGGGTCCACCACTGTCTGTTCTAGGGGACCCGGAGTGCGTGGCCCATGGGCCAGCCCCAGTGGCAATTCGGTGAGTGTCGGGATGGCGTTGGTGGCGGGGGGGTGGGGGTGGGGTGGGGATTAGGAGTGTGCAAGTTGGTAGAGTGGGCGGACTGCTCACAGCTGCCCATCTCCCCAGATCCCCTACTCCTCCTCCTCCCCTGGCAGCTACACGGTGAGTGATGCCGAAGCTGGGACACCCGACCTGGGGGCAGGGGTTGTGGGGTGGCAGTTGGAGGGCTTTTCTCACCTTCTGTGTCTCCCTCTGTGTGCAGGGACCCCCAGGAGGAGGTGGGCCCCCTGGAACACCCATCATGCCCAGCCCTGGAGGTACTACAGCCTGGGCGGGGCATAGGGAGGGGTGTGTTTGGGTGAGGCCCTCTCACACCCCACCCCCTCACGTGCTGCCTCAGACTCCACCAACTCCAGTGAGAACATGTACACCATCATGAACCCCATCGGGCCAGGCGCCGGCAGGGCTAATGTGAGCTGGGGCTTGCGGGGGTCGGGGTGGGGGCGGAGAGGTGGTGGCCCGAGGCCCAAGCTGCTCCTCTGCCTGCAGTTCCCGCTTGGCCCTGGTCCGGAGGCCCCCATGGCCGCCATGAGTGCGATGGAGCCTCACCATGTAAACGGATCCCTGGGTGAGTGGGCGGAGTCCCGGGACACGCAGACACCCACACACACGCCCCCGCCCAGCGGCTTCGCGAGCCTCGTGCGCCCCCTGGCGGTCCCTTTCAGCCCCTCCGCCTCTGTCCTCAGCCGGCGTTGGGGGCGCGCCCCGAGCTTCTCTGGGCTCAGTGACTGGGGCTGGCAGCGCTGCGGGGAGGGTCCAGTAACTAAACCGGGGGGACGCCCGGCCGCCGGCACTGGCCCACCACCCCAGATCTGGGCCCTCCGCCCGGGACCCCCGGCGGTGCCCCAGTGGGCTGGGCCGAGGGAGGGGGCGCGGCCGCCGGGGAAGTTCGGGAAGGGGTCGGTGGAGCCGGCTTGGCGCGTCTGAGCCGCGTCACCGCCGTCTGTCGGTCCACAGGCTCGGGCGATCTGGACGGGTTGCCGAAGGTGAGGGGGCCGCGCCCCTGCGGGGGGCGAGGGGCGGGGCTGCGGGGTCGGCCCGCGTGGGGAGGCTTAGTCCTGGTTGGGCCGCGCGGCGGTCGGGGCCTGGCCCGCGGGGCGGGGTGTTCCGCTCTGATCGCGGCCGCCCCCAGAGCTCCCCCGGCGCCGTGGCCGGCCTGAGCAACACCCCGGGCACCCCGCGGGACGACGGCGAGATGGCGGCCGCCGGGACCTTCCTGCACCCGTTCCCGAGCGAAAGCGTAAGCGACTGCGTCGACTCCCCCCCCGCGGCGGCGTCGGGCCGGAGGGGCCTGGCGGGCAGACCCCGGCGGGGCGGCCGGGGGGCCAGAGCAAGACCGTGACCGCGGCGGGCCAGGTGGGGGGGCGGCCGCGGCATCCTTCCCTTCCTCCCGCCTTCCCCCTCCCCAGGCCCGCCCTATCGCCCCGCCCCGCCCACATCCCACCCCAACCCTGGGACCCGCGGCCCAGGGCGGCCTCCCCACGCATCAACACCTGGTCCCTTTCCATCCCACGTCCACCCCGCCCTGTCCCCCCTTCCCCCCGGGGGCGGGTCCCAGCCTAGGCCGGAACTGAGCCGGCCCCCGCGCGCCACCCCCTCGTCTTTCCGCAGTACTCCCCCGGGATGACCATGAGCGTGTGAAGGGGCCGCAGCCCCTTGCCCACTGCCGACCTCGGCTTCTGCCCAGCGCCCCTGCCCGGGGCCAAGGTCCAGGGGCTCGGGTGGTCTGCAGGGTGAGGGTCTGAGGTCACACCGCGGGCAACTGGACTCCCGGTCAAGGCTTGGATGGCTGGGAGGCCGCGCGTGAAGGACTCATTCATTTTATAAAAAACACAAGGACCTCAGAGACGTTCTTTCCTGTATGGGCCCTTCCCGCCATTTCTGTTTTGTCCAGGGGGCTCCTTGGGGGATTTCCTTTCCCCTGGAGAGCAGGGGTGGGCCCCAACAATAAACATAACTCGATTTTGGTTTTTGGCATCTGTTCTTGGGTTTCTTCACTTTGGCTTACAGCCACAGCCTGCTTAGCCTAACCTTCAAGGGTTGTGGTTAGGCAGAGCCCCCCTCCCCCTGGGGGTTCTGGAAAGCCCCTGAGAGTTGGGACAGCAGAGTTTGGAAGGGTAGGTAGAAGTCCAGCTGGTGGAAAAGGGAGATGTGGCTGGTATTGGGGGCCGTTAGGGTTAGGTCGCAGGCACCAAGAATCCACAGGTGTGGCTCATAGTGGCACTGGCTTTATTGTCTGTCTTAAGGGGGCCTGGAAGGGTCGCGTGCTGAGGAGCAATGGAGGCAGGAGTTACAGGGGAGCTGTATGGCCATATGGCCTTAGGTGGTGGGCATCTGGGGTGCCTCAGCCTGTGAGTGCCCATAGGCGTCACCAGTACAGCCATTGGGGGCAGTTGGCGCTGATCCTTTCTTGCAAGGCACAGGGCAGGCGGTGGCCACACGCCCAACTTGCTTGAGGCCAGGGCGCTCCATCTTGTGCTCCAGAAGCATGTGGTTCTGCGGCGGGAGCCCCACGCAGGCCCTGAGAGATGGTCACGGCTCAGCAGGGCCAGACCCCAAGACTGCCCTGCAGTCCCTAGGCCCTGTGCACAGCCCCGCCAGTGGACATCTGGGCCATAGGTGGGGATCCCCAAGGTCGGGGCACACCTGAGGATATTCTCGATGCAGCTGCGCTGGCGGAAAAGCGCGTTGACCACTGGGCTGCCCGGTGGCGCAAGCGGCGCCTTGAAGAGGAAGCCAAGCAGCGACAGCACCGGGTGGAAGCTCTGCGGCTCCGGGTCGATGTCGGTGCAGAAGCTCACACGCTGGCACAGTTCAGTCAGCAGGGCCAGGTCCAGCATGATGGGCGCAGCCAGGAGTGAGTCCTATGGGGCCAGTGGGTCAGGAGGTGGGCCGGGCTGGTGGGCAGCCCCACTCCTGCCCCCTCTTGCCCCACACCTCGCACGTGTTGTGCAGCACCAGCGTGTTGGTACCGCCCAGCATCAGCTCCGATGTGTACTCATCCAGGGCACGCTTGCTGTCACCCACGTATGGCACGTACTTGATGACCACCTGGGGGGCGGCACGAGGTCACACGGGTCCCTGCCCTTCTCTGTGGGGAGCACCGCCCCACCCCACCCCACCCCCGCCCCTTGCTGCGCCTGCGCCCCACGCACGCAGTGGTTGGGCTCTTCGCCCGGCGAGTAGAGCACTGGGTTGCTGTGCACCATGTCGTCCACCACGCTGCTCTTCGACACCTCCTTGGAGCGGAACTGTGGCGGCGCCGACAGGTTCTGCCCGTCGTTGTTGCCCAGGTGGTTGTAGCTCACGATGGACATGGTCTGCGGGGGCAAGGAGACCCGCGGCAGCTGCAGGCCCCGCAGCACACAAGCCCACCCCTCGGGGTCCACGCCCCCCCATACTGAGCTGAGCAGCCCCCCAGGCCCACACACCTTGAGGCCGGAGCCAATAAGGAAGTCCACGAGCACGGACTTGACCTTGGTCTGCCCCGACTTGAAGTCGTCTCCACCCACAAAGACACGGCGCTGCCATGCAAGCTCGAGGGCACCAGGCACCAGCGTGTTCTGTGGGGACCCATTGAGGAAGGCGCAGCCCTCCAAGATGCTGGCCACGGCAAAGAGGGTGGAGGGCGACACTTCCAGGCCCAGCTGCGGGCAGAAGCGAGCAGTCAGCACAGAGGAGTCCTTGGGGGCTGGCCCTGAACCTACGCCACCCCTTGGGCGCGCCCACCTGGATGGTGTGCAGCAGGTTCTCAGCGGTGTCATTGAGGCCCGGGACCACTTCGCAGAAGCGCTCCGTGTTCGCTGTCCACAGCACGATGACTTTGTCCAGCCTGGCGCTGGACCGGAAGTCGCGGATGTCCCTACGGATCTGCTCCAGCTGGAGGGGGGGGGGGGGGGGGGGGGGG